ATACAGTTGGGGTATGGGATGAACATAGGCTGGTCAGGGTCGCAGGAATACAAAGGAGAACAGCGTGCTAGGGCCACATTCAGACCCCTACGACGATTTTTGGCACAGCCGGCAACTTCACAGTTAAATATTTTCAAAACAAACTTAAAAAAAAAATTCTTATAATTTGCACAATTATTCACTGATCTTGAAGATATTAACAGAAATTTCCTGGTGTCCATAATTTGCCCGTTGACGACATATTCGTATGTGTTGACAATGATAACACATTGGAGAGGCTTCGTGGCAAGCTTCAAGAATTCTCAGGCTTGTAGTTCACTGTTGAGAAAAGTGAAGGAGGCAGGATTCCATTCTTAGATGTTCTCGTTGACGGTAACTCGGGTAGGGTCACCACAGAACCTGTCCCGTACACCTACTGATGCAAGAAAATGTAGGAATGGTAAAAGTGAATACACTGACAGGTATAAGAGAAGTGTCATCAATGCATATGTAGGTCATGCAATACGTACATGCTCTTCTTGGCAGCTCTCTCACAATGAACTTGAACGAATCCACCAAATTATATCGAACAACGATTACAGCAATACAGAATTCAACGAAATCGTAAGAAGCTAGGCCGTCATCTGACTGAGGATAATCAGGCCCAATGGGTGGAAAATCGGCCCCCAAAGGATGCTATTGAGATGTATTATAAAAATACATATACTCAGGCAAACAAGATGGATGAAAAGGTGATACGAGATATAATAGACTGAAATTGTAAACCTTGCAGTGAAAACGCAAGGATTCGTCTTATCACTTATTATAACAACCCTGGTACATCTTCCCTTATTATGATAAATAACATCTGTCTCCTCTGACAAACTGAGGTATACTAATGTAGTATCAATACATATGCAGACTGTGCACTCCAAAATATATGCTACATTGGACATAATGAAACACTGAGTAGACGTCTAACACTTCATTAGCAAGAGGGAGATATTAAGCAACATCATTCTCAATACCATCCTGAATCGCTAAGACATAGTGAAAGATAATACAACAATACGATAAGATAAGACAATAATTACACGCATTCACGAACGTAGGAGTCTTCGTACGCTTCAGACTGTGTTCATTCGGGAGCTGACACCAATAATGAACATCCAGATGAATTCCACTTCAAACATGCAACTGTTCGATGGTCCTCCATTGATCAAGAGGGAAGATGAAAGACCTGGCAGTCAACGAGAAGCCGGAGTCAGCAAACAATCACCTCACCCGATCCTTCACCACTCCCTACCTTTAGATAGGTAAAGTGAATCGTGGAGTCGGGTGTGCTCACACTTATCACTTATTAAGTGATCACTTATTAAGTGATCTAGTGTTTCTTCACACTCCAGACAGAAGACGATATTTTCGAAAAATAGAAGGAAAATATCCAAAACGAATTAACAATAAGTCACAATGCTGTTGTTTATTAACATATATATATATATATATATATATATATATATATATATATATATATATATATATATATATATATATATATATATATATATATATATATATATATATTGAATATGACTGCATATTCTGTATTTATTATTTTCTGGTTTAGGGCTTCTATCCCTCTAACTATTTTCTTAGCATCAGGGCTTAGTTGAAATAGGAGTTCTCCAAAACTCATTTTCGTACTTTTAAGGTGAAGAAAAAAAGTGATTTACTATAGAATGTATTACACCACTTTATACAATTTGCACCACGTTTCGAACCTCCATGGTTCATTCTCAAGTGAAGAGATCTTACAATGCTGGTTGATTTTATACCCGCACTGGGTCAGGTGATAAGACAATAAAGGTGAAAACATGGACGGATACATAAGGGATAAATGTGGGGGTGAAACATAAGAACATAAGAATAGAGGTAACTGCAGAAGGCTTATTGGCCCATACGAGGCAGCTCCTATCTACATACAAAGATTAATCCAGTGTAATTGGCCTGTTATGTTGGACATTGTCTTCTGTGTTGGCATCGTTATGTTCTGGTCTTGTCCTTACTCTCATGGTGGGTAGAGTAAATAGTTCCGTGATTTGGGTGTTCATGGTAGGTTGTTCTAGTCTTATGTGAATTGCTTCAAGAATTTGTAATCTTCTTGCATCTTGGGTTTTGTCTATTATACAGTTATTCTTGTTCAACATTTCTCTTGTTAGGGTGATGTCATGGGCTTGTCTCATGTGATTCCTAGGGGCACCGGATTGAAGATGGCATGTCAAATGCCTCGTCAGCTTGGTCGACGTCATACCTATGTACTTAGATTGAAGGTTACATCCTTCGTGGGTGCAAGTGTACATGTATACAACGCTTGACTGCTGTAGAGGGTTCTCCGTCGGCTTCGGGCTGTTTTTGATAAGGAGTTCGGAAGTCTTCTTGGTTTTGTAGAATATTATCAGGTTTATGTTTTTTATAGTTGTGCATTAATTGGCTGTCTCTTCCCACAACCAAACCATCGCCACAGAAATCCTAGTAAACAACACAGAAATCATCGATAGATACAGCGATAGCAGGCGGCTTGACGTTTGCGAGGCACTACACATTAAAAAGTCAACACCAGCAATCAACAGCCAATTAATGCACAACTATATTCTACTTACCTCAAGACTCCGCTCCAATATAGAAGCATCAAGAAATATGGACCAATAGGCTTTCTACAATCACTTCCATTCAATACCCATTGTTTCGTGTTCTGTCTTGTGTTGATGAAATTAATACCCTATTAATGCCACCTCACTCAAATGTAGATATAAACAAATCGGAGATGTTTAAGTTCTATCCAGTTGTGTATGTGTAAACTAAAGTCTTTGAAAATGTAATAAGTTTTACGAAACGCGCTCAAGTGTCGCGTCAGACTAGAAATAAAAATGAATTTTGGAGAATTGATTTTTGAATTACCACCAACAGTGAAAAGAAATGTACGAAAGATAGAGAAAATTCGTGTTAGAATTATTAATCTTACTTTTTCAGTCATATTTAATATATGTATATATATATATATATATATATATATATATATATATATATATATATATATATATATATACATATATTAAATATGACCGAAAAAGTCATATTTAAAAAAAAATATATGTATATATATATATAACTGAAAACTCACACCCCAGAAGTGACTCGAACCCATACTCCCACAACTGGTATGTACAGGGACGCCTTAATCCGCTTGACCATCACGACCGGACATAAGGAAGTGATAGCCGAGGCTATATGAACCACTTCCCCGCCGGCACTCGGATGGTAATCTTGGGCATAGCATTTTATCAAATCACCTCATTCTTTGGGGCACACGTGAGGAACACAAATGCAAACAAGCCTGAATGGTCCCCAGGACTATATACAACTGAAAACTCACACCCCAGAAGTGACTCGAACCCATACTCCCACAACTGGTATGTACAGGGACGCCTTAATCCGCTTGACCATCACGACCGGACATAAGGAAGTGATAGCCGAGGCTATATGAACCACTTCCCCGCCGGCACTCGGATGGTAATCTTGGGCATAGCATTTTATCAAATCACCTCATTCTTTGGGGCACACGTGAGGAACACAAATGCAAACAAGCCTGAATGGTCCCCAGGACTATATACAACTGAAAACTCACACCCCAGAAGTGACTCGAACCCATACTCCCACAACTGGTATGTACAGGGACGCCTTAATCCGCTTGACCATCACGACCGGACATAAGGAAGTGATAGCCGAGGCTATATGAACCACTTCCCCGCCGGCACTCGGATGGTAATCTTGGGCATAGCATTTTATCAAATCACCTCATGAGGTGATTTGATAAAATGCCCCAAAGAATGAGGTGATTTGATAAAATGCTATGCCCAAGATTACCATCCGAGTGCCGGCGGGGAAGTGGTTCATATAGCCTCGGCTATCACTTCCTTATGTCCGGTCGTGATGGTCAAGCGGATTAAGGCGTCCCTGTACATACCAGTTGTGGGAGTATGGGTTCGAGTCACTTCTGGGGTGTGAGTTTTCAGTTGTATATAGTCCTGGGGACCATTCAGGCTTGTTTGCATTTGTGTTCCTCACGTGTGCCCCAAAGAATGAGGTGATTTGATAAAATGCTATGCCCAAGATTACCATCCGAGTGCCGGCGGGGAAGTGGTTCATATAGCCTCGGCTATCACTTCCTTATGTCCGGTCGTGATGGTCAAGCGGATTAAGGCGTCCCTGTACATACCAGTTGTGGGAGTATGGGTTCGAGTCACTTCTGGGGTGTGAGTTTTCAGTTGTATATAGTCCTGGGGACCATTCAGGCTTGTTTGCATTTGTGTTCCTCACGTGTGCCCCAAAGAATGAGGTGATTTGATAAAATGCTATGCCCAAGATTACCATCCGAGTGCCGGCGGGGAAGTGGTTCATATAGCCTCGGCTATCACTTCCTTATGTCCGGTCGTGATGGTCAAGCGGATTAAGGCGTCCCTGTACATACCAGTTGTGGGAGTATGGGTTCGAGTCACTTCTGGGGTGTGAGTTTTCAGTTGTATATAGTCCTGGGGACCATTCAGGCTTGTTTGCATTTGTGTTCCTCACGTGTGCCCCAAAGAATGAGGTGATTTGATAAAATGCTATGCCCAAGATTACCATCCGAGTGCCGGCGGGGAAGTGGTTCATATAGCCTCGGCTATCACTTCCTTATGTCCGGTCGTGATGGTCAAGCGGATTAAGGCGTCCCTGTACATACCAGTTGTGGGAGTATGGGTTCGAGTCACTTCTGGGGTGTGAGTTTTCAGTTGTATATAGTCCTGGGGACCATTCAGGCTTGTTTGCATATATATATATGTATATATATATATATATATATATATATATATATATATATATATATATATATATATATATATATATATACATATATTAAATATGACCGAAAAAGTCATATATATATATATATATATATATATATATATATTTACTCTACAAACAAATGTAGAGGAAACCTTCAAGAGAAAAGTCTCGAGCCATCACCGCTGTCACGAGAAGATCTTCTAAAATCAAGAAATGATGACCATCTCTGACCAGAGTGTTGATACTTCTCTGCATGTCCGACGTCGGGATATATTGAATACGATTTTGTTCCTGCAGATTAGCGATGTCTTTCAATAAGCCAGTTGTAGCAGTCTGCAAGTAGAAAATGTTAATGTATAGTTTTTTACTTTATAAACACATTATATTTTCTGTTTCTGAATCAACATGTATCGTAAACATGAACCTCTCTCAAAAAAAGTTTCTCTAAAATGAGAGGTTGAAGACAATGTACAATTAGCCTTACAATACTTAATCGTTATGTTATAACAATATATGTTATACTTTTATTCTAGGCTAAGAATGCTCATATATACAATAATATAGAATACACACACAACCACATTCATGCACTCTGACACTTAGGAAGAATTACATGTGTAAACAAATACCAGCATGGCTTTAGGGATGGGAACAGTATGCCTACTTGAGCTTTCTGATAAAGTAACAAGAATAATGCAAGAAATAGGATGGACAGATTGCGTAGCGGCCCCAACACCCGACTGCCAAAAGTCCTTTGACACAGTACAACAATCAAGAGATTAATATACAAACTTGACACGCAGAGTGGAGTAGGCAGATCAGCGCCTACATGGGTACGGAATTACTTAACAAGCAGAAGGCAGTAAGGGTCAAGAAGTCGGACTGGCGAACAGTGACAATTTTATTTTATGTATTTATTGTTACATGTAGAGCATGCGAACACGGACAATAAAATATTTACCGGAAAAAAACGCATAATGAAAACAAAACAAAAGTACAAAACCACAGGCCTGAAGACCCTACAACAAGACACAGAAACACATTCACAAACATTACATAGTACAGACTATTCACAATATAAAAAATACAATATACAACATACAAAATGACGCATACAATATACAACATACAAAATAATGCATACAATATACAACATACAAAATACCGCATACAATATACAACATACAAAATACCGCATACAATATACAACATACAAAACACAATAACTTTATTGAGCAAAGTTCATAACACACAGGAAAAGTACACATTTATTTATAACAAATTAAATACAATAAAAACAAAAGAAGTAGCATTATAGGAGAACGAAACAAAAACCGAAACCCAGGCCACAAAATATTACAATGAACCCAGAAAATAGCACTAGCAGAAACTCGAAAACAGTAACCCAAGAATAGTAACAAATACAAGACAAGCACAAACATGAAACAAGGCACAAAACAGGAAACGCAAAACTTATTACACAAAGTTAATACACAGAGACAAGCCATTGGCACAAAAGGAAACATGGAAATGAACATTCGAATCAATTTGACCTGCTCGAAACGCTGCGCGTACTAGTGGCTTTGCAAGAATGTAATCACTATGCTATGTATCCTCACAAATCCAATGTACCTTCTTGTATATAAATAAATAAATAAATAAATAAATTTGAACCAAGCCAGAAGGACCACACGGTAATTACAAAAGCTAACACATATGTGACGGTAACGCGTTGGTGTTCGGCTGTTTCAAAAGCTGGGGGCAGGGCCTCGTCACATCACAAAAAAAAGAGAAAAGTTTGTCCTTTCGTCTGTGGTAAGGTAATGGGAAGACACACAAAACACAAGTATATAAACAATGAAATTTTAATTACTCTAGAAAACAAGACATGAATAAAGGAAATCTCATAAAATGCAGGACAAATCAACAAACAAAATAACATGAATAATCACTGGCAAATGAAAAGTTACGCTAAGACAAGTAAGTTACAGTGATATCAAAATAAAATATGTAATGGGTGCTGGAATACTGGCTTCAAGCTGCCACCTCCCTTAGTACACGAAAGCCAAGGCTTAGTCTACCAGCGAGAGATGTCAACTTCATGGAGCACAAAGATATTCTAACGAGACTGGCGCACTGCAGCCCAGACGTCGACTTGTGGTGGTGGCAGAGGGCAGGTGCGACGAGACACCAGCCAATCAGCAACAGGCAGGCAGAGGATGAGCAGTTTGCTGGTTACGGCGGTGGCCAGGTGTCGGTGTGTGCTGGGTACGATTTGCTCTCTGGGCAAAACGTTTGGCGATACTGGTGGACGTGTCTTCTATATAGTATCTTGTATTTTGACGTAATGATGTAGGGAAGAGCAGGCTCAATCTCTCTTGAAAGAGATTATCGTCACACATACATAAATACAGAACCGAAAAACACAAGATTCGGGAAGTACAGAACAGACAGCACACATACATACAATCAGATAAAACAGACCGGCGCACACAGGAGCTGGGGAACAGGAAAAAAAAAAACACACACATGCATTCGAAACACATAAAATTACAGAATACCACAAAAACACAGTATAAATACGAAACAAAAAAGCACACTTCCACAGGCCTGACAGGCCCACGGTAAACACAGGAAAGGGAAGGCAACACATAAAACTCGTACCTGTGTTTATTCGGAAAATCCGCCACCGGAAACCAGATACAGTATGCATCCCAATGTAGCCGTACAACAGGACGAACATCAGGATAATAACGTTCACGAGGACATATCATATACTCCGGAACCTGGGATAAGAAGGCATGCACGCAAGGGACCCAAATAGTGATTGCGAGTGATTGCACACAAAATGAGGTCAATGGGTATAACTGGTAAAGTAGGGCGCTGGATTCTAAATTTCCTGTTGAACAGAACACAAAGAGTAACAGTCAATCAAGTAAAATCGAGTCCGAGCGCAGTTAAAAGCTCTGTACCTCTAGGTACAGTCCTCGCAGCACTGATGTTCCTTATTCTCATATCAGATATAGACAAAAATACAAGTCACAGCTTCGTGTCATCATTTGCAGATGATACAAAAATCAGCATGAAATATACCTCTGCTGAAGGCATTGATAAACTACAAACAGATATCAACAAAGTTTTCGATTGGGCAGCAGAAAATAACATGATGTTTAACGGTGATAAATTCCAGGTACTCAGATACGGCAAAAATGAGGATCTGAAACATAATACAGGGAACAAAACATAATCGAATCTGCCCATAGTAGGAAAACAGCATGTCAATGATTTGGGAATAATAATGTCCGACCACCTAACTTTTAGGGAGCATAACCAAGCAAGTATTGCGTCTGCCAGAAAAATGATAGGATGGATTACGAGAACCTTCAAGTCCAGAAATCCCATCACAATGGTTGTACTCTTCAAATCACTTGTGTTGTCCCGTCTTGAGTACTGCTCAGTACACACTTCCCCCATCAAAGCAGGAGAGATTGCTGAAATAGAGGGAATACAGAGAACATATACGGCACGCATAGACGAGATAAAGCACCTAAATTATTGGGATCGTCTCAAAGCTCTCCAAATGTACTCACTAGAAAGGAGACGAGAGAGATACCAAATAATATACACATGGAAAACACTGGAGGGACAGGTCCCAAATCTGCACAGTAAAATAACAACGTACTGGATTGAACGACATGGAAGAAAATGCAGAATAGAACCAGTGAGGAGCAGAGGTACCATGGGCACAATCAGCGAACACTGTATGAACATCAGAGGTCCGCGGTTGTTCAACGTCCTACCAGCGAGCATCAGAAATATTGCCGGAACACCCGTGGACATCTTCAAGAAGAAACTAGATTGTTTTCTTCAAGGAGTGCCGGACCAACCGGGCTGTGGTGGGTATGTGGGCCTGTGGGCCGCTCCAAGCAACAGCCTGGTGGACCAAACTCTCATAAGTCAAGTCTGGCCTCGGGCCGGGCTTGGGGAGTAGAAGAACTCCCAGAACCCCATCAACCAGGTATCAACCAGCAGACGGGCACAGAGGGACCAGCGCTACCCGTCCCACATGAAGGGCAGCTGGTCAGCAGTCAGAACATCAACAGGCTGATCATCATCACTATCATCTGACTGAACTTCATTATTATCAGATTGAATAACAGTACTAGTCACGGCATTCCCCGACGGTGCAACCGCACCCCCAGACGGTGGCGGCAACACGGAGGGCGGGGTTGATAACACAGCGGGCAGCATCACAGGGAGCAATACCACAGGGGACACATCCGGAACAGCATCCACGGGTCCGGGCACCGTCACAAATCTCCCACATCCTTCTTTAGGACAATCGCAAGGCTCCGGGCCACACCATCTGCCACAAGAGGAGGGGCCTCCCCCCGACTGCTGGGAACCCAATGCAGGAGGAGAAACAGAGGCCAACTCAGAGACACCCACACCAGGACCAGCAGCAGGCACGTGAATCTCCACCATCACCATCATAGTTGACACCGCAGCCCCAGGAACCACCCCACCAACACCTGCAGACCAGCAATCATCAAAGTTACCCACATCGCCTCTTGTGGGGAAATCTGGTTCCAAGATATTGATAATAAATCTCATAAATTAATCGAAGGGCCGCCCTTTAGAAAAAAGGAAAATAAAATGGGAGAACCAGTGCCTAAGGATCTCTTGTAGAACTATCATTGATAATCTATTATGTAAAATAGTGAACTGTAATTTATAATAAATTATAGAACCAAGTCCCTCCAGACACTCTGTGGGATTAATTAGAACAGAGAAACTATTGCATTTCAAGTACCACTAATGAGATGCTAATGCACATCCTAAATAAAAATAATGAGATACTAATGCCTATCCACAATAAACTAATGAGATACTAATGCGAATCAATAATAAACTAATGAGATACCAATGCATATCAATTATTTAATAAAAATGAAAATAAATCGAAATCTATGAAAATTTAATTGATCAATGCCATCAGAACTATTGAAATGGAATTTGTAACATATTTAGTACAGCATGTGTTGCTTTTTCGTGCAACAGATGGGGCTGTTTAAAAAAAAAACATGTTTTTACCTGTCACTGGTGTGAGATGTATATGGTAGATATATTAAAACACCTGCATACTCAAGTGGAAAGTTGTTTCAAAATTTCAAAGCAATCAGTGAAGAACTTTCGGAGATTACAGCATGTGTTGCTCTTATGCCCAACAGATGGCTCTGTTTAAAAAAAAAACATATATTTTTCCTGTCACAAGTGAGGCATGTATATAGTAGGTATATAAAAACACGGGCCTATTCGAATGCAATGTTTTGTCAAAATTTCAAAGCAATCGGTAAGGAGGTTTCGAATATTTCCCTCACATGACAAGCACAGTTTTTCAAAACGTATGTTTTTCCCCCCTCACAAACGTGACATCTATATAGTATGTACATAAAAACCTGCCCGGATGAGAATGGAACATTGTGTTAAAATTTCAAAGCAATCGCTGAAGTACTTTCGGAGATTAGCGATTTTAAACAAATGAACATTTACATTTTTATTTATATAGATATATATTAGTATATTTTGATAGGAGTCTTTGTTGTAAACATATGTTGTTGAATATGACTGAAAGGGCAAGATTAATAATTCTAACACGAATCTTCTCAATATTTCTTATGTTTTTCTTCACTGTCGGGGGTAGTTGAAAAATCAACTCTCCAAAGTTCAAGTTGCTGTGGCTCAGCAATTCATGTTTGTTGCTGAGCCACAGCAACCTTCTTCTGTCCCCCAGTCCTCCCCACTTCCCCCCCCCCTCACCCGTTCCCTCATCTTCACATCCATTCCCCCACTCTCCCATCCCCTCATCCTCCCAACCATTCCCCACTCCCCCTTACCCTTGTCCCCCCTCCCCTGTCCTCTTGTCCTCCCCACCATTCCCCAATCCACCGTCCCCTCGTCCTCCAAACCATCTCCCACTCTCCCTTCCCCTCGTCCTCCCTACCATTCTCGCCTCCCCTGTCCCCTCTTCCTCCTCACCTTACTCTACTCCCCTGTCCCCTCTTCCTCCTCACCTTACTCTACTCCCCTGTCCCCTCTTCCTCCTCACCTTACTCTACTCCCCTGTCCCCTCTTCCTCTCACCTTACTCTACTCCCCTGTCCCCTTGTCCTCTCCCACCATTCCCCGTCCCCTCGTCCCCACCATCCCCACGTCCTTCCCACCATTACTCCCTTCCCTCTCCCCTCTTCCACCCCACCATCACCTACTCCCCTGTCCCCTTGTCCTCCCCACAATTCTCTATTCCCCCGTTCCCTCGTCCCCACTATCCCCCACTCCCCCGTTCCCTCGTCCTTCTCACCATTCTCCACTCCCTTGTCCGATGCATTCCCAAATGATCTGATGTTCCCATCACTGAAAAATAAGAACAGTTAAAAAAACGATATGAAAAAGAATAAAAAAAAATATAAAATCAACTATACTCATCAAATAGACAGAATGGCAAACAACACAGCTCAAGTCCAAGGTAATGTCACACAAAATAATTAAATCAAAATGAAAATCAATCAAATCTATGAAAATTTAATTTATCATTGCAATCAGAAACACTGAAATGGAATTGAAACTTATATAGTAACGCATGTGTTGCTCTTTTGGGCAACAGATGGCACTGTCTAAAAAACACATGTTTTTACTTGTTACAGGTGTGGCATCTATATGGTAGGTATATAAAAACACGCGATTATTCGAATGGAAAGTTGTGTCAAAATTTCAAAGCAATCGATGAAGAACTTTTGGAGATAACAGCATGTGCCCAGGAAACAATTTAAGGTTCCCACAACGTATCTGGAAAGTGTTTGAAAGGATTGGAAACGTTTGTTTTCACGCGTCATATACGTTTTTTTGTGTGGAATTAAATAGGTTTCCAAAATTTATAACCAAAACCTACGTATTTACTAATTTGAAACGTTGTGAAGCCTTTAGTACCCTAATTTGAAACGTTGTGACGCCTTTTGTACCTAACTTGAAACTTTGTGACCGCTTTTATAAAGTGTTTCAAGTTGAAATGCTCAAATATAAATACAATATGAAATGTAAAAATGTAAAAATATATTTCTACATTTGGTAAAATAAAGCATCATAATAAAGGTGGGTTCATCATTTTTATTCAATAATCATTTGTAGTAGCGTAGTGTAGTAGCCTGGTGTTGTGGCCTGGTGTTGTAACCTGGTATAGTGGTGTGGTGTAGTACCCTGGTGTAGTAGCCTAGTATAGTGGTGTGGTGTAACCTGGTATAGTGGTGTGTTGAAGTACCCTGGTGTAGTAGCCTGGAATAGTGGTGTGGTGTAGTAGCCTGGTATAGTGGTGTGGTGTAGTACCCTGGTGAAGTGGCATAGTGTAGTAGCCTGGTATAGTGGTGTGGTGTAGTACCCTGGTGTAGTGGCGTGGTGCAGTAGCCTGGTATAGTGGTGTGGTGTAGTACCCTGGTGTAGTGGTGTGGTGCAGTAGCCTGGTATAGTGGTGTGGTGTAGTACCCTGGTGTAGTGGCATGGTGTAGTAGCCTGGTATAGTGGTGTGGTGTAGTACCCTGGTTTAGTGGTGTGGTGTAGTAGCCTGGTATAATGGTGTGGTGTAGTAGCCTGGAATAGTGGTGTGGTGTAGTAGCCTGGTGTAGTGGTGTGGTGTAGTAGCCTGGTATAGTGGTGTGGTGTAGTAGCCTGATGTAGTGGTGTGGTGTAGTAGCCTGGTATAGTGGTGTGGTGTAGTAGCCTGGTGTAGTGGTGTGGTGTAGTAGCCTGGTATAGTGGTGTGTAGTAGCCTGGTATAGTGGTGTGGTGTAGTAGCCTGGTATAGTGGTGTGGTGTAGTAGCCTGGTATAGTGGTGTGGTGTAGTAGCCTGGTATAGTGGTGTGGTGTAGTAGCCTGGTATAGTGGTGTGGTTTAGTACCCTGGTATAGTGGTGTTGTGTAGTAGCCTGGTATAGTGGTGTGGTGTAGTAGCCTGGTATAGTGGTGTGGTTTAGTACCCTGGTATAGTGGTGTGGTGTAGTAGCCTGGTATAGTGGTGTGGTGTAGTAGCCTGGTATAGTGGTGTGGTGTAGTAGCCTGGTGTAGTGGTGTGGTGTAGTAGCCTGGTATAGTGGTGTGGTGTAGTAGTCTGGTACAGTGGTGTGGTGTAGTATCCTGGTGTAGTGAGTGTTGTAGTAGCCTGGTGTAGTGGTGTGGTGTAGTAGCCTGGTATAGTGTGGTGTAGTAGTCTGGTGTATTGGTGTGGTGTAGTATCCTGGTGTAGTGGTGTGGTGTAGTAGCCTGGTGTAGTGATGTGGTGTAGAAGCCTGGTATAGTGGTGTGGTGTAGTAGCTTGGTGTAGTGGTGTGGTGTAGTAGCCTGGTGTAGTGGTGTGGTGTAGTAGCCTGGAGTAGTGGTGTGTTGTAGTAGCCTGGTGTAGTGATGTGTTGTAGTAGTGTAGTAGTGTGGTGTAGTGGTGTGGTGTAGTAGCCTGGTATAGTGGTGTGGTGTAGTAGCCTGGTATAGTGGTGTGGTGTAGTAGCCTGGTATAGTGGTGTGGTGTAGTAGCCTGGTATAGTGGTGTGGTGTAGTAGCCTGGTATAGTGGTGTGGTTTAGTACCCTGGTATAGTGGTGTGGTGTAGTAGCCTGGTATAGTGGTGTGGTGTAGTAGCCTGGTATAGTGGTGTGGTTTAGTACCCTGGTATAGTGGTGTGGTGTAGTAGCCTGGTATAGTGGTGTGGTTTAGTACCCTGGTATAGTGGTGTGGTGTAGTAGCCTGGTGTAGTGGTGTGTTGTAGTAGCCTGGTGTAGTGGTGTGGTGTAGTAGCTTGGTGTAGTGGTGTGGTGTAGTAGCCTGATGTAGTGTAGTAGCCTGGTGTAGTGGTATGGTGTAGTAACTTGGTGTAGTGGTGTGGTGTAGTAGCCTGGTGTAGTGGTGTGGTGTAGTAGCCTGGTGTAGTGGTGTGGTGTAGTAGTCTGGTGTAGTGGTGTGGTGTAGTAGCCTGATGTAGTGTAGTAGCCTGGTGTAGTGGTATGGTGTAGTAGCCTGGTGTAGTGGTGTGGTGTAGTAGCCTGGTGAAGTGGTGTGGTGTAGTAGCCTGGTGTAGTGGTGTGGTGAAGTAGCCTGGTGTAGTGGTGTGGTGTAGTAGCCTGGTGTAGTGGTGTGGTGTAGTAGCCTGGTGTAGTGGTGTGGTGTAGTAGTCTGGTGTAGGTGTGTGGTGAAGTAGCCTGGTGTAGTGGTGTGGTGTAGTAGCCTGGAGTAGTGGTGTGGTGTAGTAGCCTTGTGCAGTGGTATGGTGTAGTAGCCTGGTGTAGTGGTGTGGTGTATTAACCTTGGGTAGTGGCATGGTGTAGTAGCCTGGTTTAAGTGTGTGGTGAAGTAGCCTGGTGTGGTGTAGTAGCCTGGTGTAGTGGTGTGGTGTAGTAGCCTGGTGTAGGTGTGTGGTGAAGTAGCCTGGTATAGTGGTGTGGTGTAGTAGCCTGGTATAGTGGTGTGGTGTAGTAGCCTGGTATAGTGGTGTGGTGTAGTAGCCTGGTGTAGTGGTGTGGTGTAGTAGCCTGGTATAGTGGTGTG